TGTATTTAGTTAATAATTTTTTTATTGAATTGCTACTATATTCTGGATGTTGCTCTAGGCACTGGGTGAATAAAAGCTTTTGCCTTCAAGGAGCATGCCTTTAAAATGAGGAACACAAAATAAATACATGGCATATTAGTTGGTAATCAGTGACATGAAGAATAGGTGAGAGAGAATGATGGGTGTGCTGCTGAAAGGGGTCAGTCAGGGAAGGCTTCTTGGAGGAAGTGGCATTGCATGAAGGTCTGACTCAACTTTCAAGAAGATGTGGTATTAAAGGAAAAGAGGGAGGCTCTAGACTGCATGAGACTTGGGATTTACTGATATATAACTAAAAATCTATTTAAGATTTAAGAGTGGGTTAGCTATATTATGGCTATTAAATCTTTACTAGCACTGGCATTTTAGAATATTAGGTACTTATTCATCGTCTAAGAAGACAGGTGTGTGTGCATGTTAATTGTAATGGAAGGGAAAGAGCAGCAAGTATGTGTGAGTTCTGTGTGCAGAAGACTCCCCAGGGCCTCCCGAGGATTCCTGGTCTTTCAAGAATCTTGGTCTCTCTTCATGTATTAAATGCTAAAATATAGCAACCCACTTTAGTGCCCTCAGATACTAAGTACTTCACACTCCTCCTAAGACTTACCTATCATTTCTAATATTTTCATTTTGTGTTCCCCAAATTAGAGACTGTGTCCATGTCCTCGATACAGTTTTCACCATCAGCTGGTAAACATCTGGATCAAGTTTACAACAATGTGGTTTCTGACTGTCTTGTTTCTAGCTAATCTCTCTCTCAGCCGGTCACACTGGTCACACTCCTACTGTGCACCAGCTGATAGGGAACTGAGGCCAGAGGTGGAAGACGAGACCCCGATCCTGAAAGGGGGAAAACACTCAAGGAAAGTACAACACGGAGGACAGGTGCTGTGACAGAGACAAGTGCCAGTGTGGAGAAGAAGGGACCCCGGGGGGGCATCCTGTGTGGTCCTAGAGTCCTCGTATTAAAAGGAGACTGAAGTCGAGGGCATGTGCTGTGATGATTGTTTCTAATTTCCCATCGATATAGAACAAACTGAAACAATTCTGCTTCTAGGCACATTCTCACAAGAATTGAAAGCAGGGACTTGAACAGATATTTGTACGCCAGCGTCTATGGTAGCATTATTCACAATAGCTACAAGATGGAAACAACCCAAATGTTCGGTGATAAAGAAATGAATGAGCAAAATGTGATATATAAACACAGCACAATGTTATTTAGCCTTAAAAAGGAATGGAATTCTGATACATGCTATAATATGGATGAATCTTAAAACATTACTATAAGTGAAATAAGCCAGACACAAAAGGACATATATTGTGTGATTCCACTATATGAAGTGCCTGGAATGGTAAAGTTTATAGAGGCAGAAAATAGAATAGTGGTTACCAGGGACTGGGAAGGGGAGGACCGGGGAGCTGTTATTTAATGGACCTGGAGTGTATGTCGAGAATGATGAAAAAGTTCTAGAGATGGATGATGGACAATGCTGATGGCTGTGTAACAGTATGCATGCACTTAACGCCACTGGACAGGACACTTAAAGATGCTTAAAATGGCAAGTTTAGTGCATATGTATTTTATTTAGTTTTTAAAAAAAGATTAGCTGAGATGAGGTCCTAATGCCTATAGGAAACGTGTGTGTCCTAGCGTGGATTTCCTAAAATTTGGATTATTTTCTACAGGATCAGCGTTTATGGGATTTAATAAGCATCATCAACTTATTTTATGAAAACAATTGTGAAAGTTTACATTTCTCCCGGGTACATATTGGAGGTACGGAGCCCGCCATCTGTACCCAACCGCTGTCCCTGGCCAAAGGAAAGCAAGTCATCTCAATAACTCACAGTGCCAGCACAGGACTATGCACTGAGTTAAACAAGTAAACTTGTTTTACATTGTTACTAACTAGTTACTAACTAGTAACTAGTAAAACAAGTAAACAATGGTGCCTTGTTTTAATATGCACTTCTTGGTTTATTTGTGAGGTTTATACTGTTGGTATTTTTTTTTACTAGATATATTTCCTGTTCTATGGGTTGTCTGGTTTCTTATTTTAAAATCCATGTCTCACTTTGTTTAAGGCAACTTAGCAAAACACACACAAGCCGGGAGTTTTAAACATGGGGAAAATTGGAGCAAAGAGGAAATAATGGCAGGGAGTAAAATGAAGACAAGGTACGGGATTGCATATGAAATTCGCCAAGGGGTCTGGTAGAGGGAGATAACTCATTTGTCTCTGAGTTTGCTGGGAGCCAATGGAAAAGGAGGAACAAGACCCCCAGCTTCGTGATGACTTTTTCTTGGTAGTAACACACCGACCCCTAGTTTTGGATCTGAGACGAGTTTCTGTCTGTGGGTTCATATGATAGGGTTTATCAACCGTGGTGGGAGCATTGTTATTATTTATTGAGTTTATTGGGGTGACACTGTTTAATAAAATCATACAGGGTTCACATATTCAAGTTATAACACATTGTCTGCACAGAGCATTGCATGCTCATCACCCAAAGTGGATGTCTTTTCATCCCCATTTCCACCCCCTTTGTCCCTTCCACCTCCTCCTGCCCCCTTTCCCTCTGACAATCACCATACATTTGTCTGTGTCTGATTATTATTATTATTTTTGCTTAATCCCTTCATTTTTTCACCCAGCCGCCTAACATCTGCTTCCCTCTGATAGCTGTCAACCTGTTTTCTGTGAGTCAGTTTCTACTGTGGTTGTTAGTTTATTTTCTTTATTTGATATCACATATCAGTGAAATCATATGGCCTTTGTCTTTCCCTGACTGGCTTATTTCACTTAGCTTAATGTTCTCCAGGTCCATCTGTGCCATCACAAAGGGTGAGATTTCCTTCTTTTTTATGGCTGAGTCATATTCCATTGTGTAAAGGTACCATAGCTTTCTTATCCACTCACTACCTCCTAATGGGCACTTGAGCTGCTTCCAGATCTTGGCTATTGTAAATAATGCTGCAGTTGAACATAGAGGTGCCTATATTTTTTCAAATTAGTGTTTCAAGTTTCTTTGGATAGATTGCCAGAAGTGGATTGCTGAGTGGTAAGGCAGTTCTGTTTTTAATTTTTTGAGGAAACCCCATACTGCTTTTGACAGTGGCCGTGCCAGGCTGCACTCCCACCCACAGTGCAGGGGGGCTCCCTCTACTCCCCGTCCTTGCCAGCACATGTCGATTGGTCATTTGTTGATGGCAGCCATTCCGACAGGCATGAGGAGATACCTCACTGTGGTTTTAATTTGCATCACAGAGCATGTCTTAAACACAGTTTCCTTACATTATTTAATGGTGAGCTATGGGATGGCCTAGACTTTTTTTTTTCAATCAAGGATTTCAAGGTAACCAGAAATAAATCCCAGAGATCTGCTAAGTGATCACACTACGTGTACATAATCCAAACGTGTTATTAGAGGGGTAGAGGAGTGTTTGGGAGGACTGATGCTTTCTCCTCCCTCTGATTAATGTTGCTGTTAAGTTCCCATAATTGGTTAGCTCTCTGTGAATGAGACCCAACTGAGGGCAAGAAAATTGTGACCGACTGAAGGTTTACATGCTGCCCTCTCCTCCATGTTCCTGTTCACGGCTCTTCCAGAACTTGTGTTGGGTGGTGAATACCTTTAGGGAAAGGAGACAGGTTCTTCCAATCCTGTGGAGCCAGGATGGAAACCCGGATATTCTGACTTAAACCCATGTCTTTTTTCTTCCCCAGTATCATGTGATCCAATCAGCTTGTCACTATGATAAAATACATATGGCACAACTATTTTTATTTTCTACGTTGTATCTCAAAAATTGGAAATTGCTCTTCGGCAACTGAAATGGAACAGAAATCAACATCTATTATCATAAGCACAGGGGAAACATGCAGAATTGGTATTCTCTTGGATTGTGTACTGTCTTTAGCCAGTAGGGAATTTAATGGAATTTACATGTGAGAGAAGCAGAGCATTCAAGCAAAGGGCTGTGGATTACATGGAAATGAGCCATGTTGTAAAGGGACTCAAATAGCTAGAGGAGAGGGAGATGAAGAGAACAGTAATACCCACAGCTTAAGTAATCACATCGTTCACTGTGGCCACTGTAACATCCCTATGTAAATATATCACATATGATCTGATACAGGGGGATTTCTCTAAGCAGCATTGTTGCTAAACACAATTGGATTTTTGATAAATCTTATACATCCATTTCATATCTCCCTTTGTTACAGGGTTTGAGAGTGGTGGTGGGAAAATGGAGACAATGGTATTCAAACATTAATAAAAAATGATAAAGAAATCCGAAGGAAACGAAGCGGTATCCAGCTCTTATCAAGACAGTGAGGGGATTGCATTGCACTGATGGCGATGGGAAATATGAGCGAGGAGGTGTTCGGAAATTGCTGTACGCCTTCAGAGCTATAATCCCAGGTTTCAGAAGTCTGCCGTTGTTAAACATTTTCCTAAAAATGATGCATGCCCATGATTCCTTTTACGGCAATTACTCATACATTTTCAGTCTCATTTTTACTATTCGAATGAAGCACTGTATTTTTAAAAATTGTGTTTGAGTGATTGTGCTATTACAAGTGTCCTGATTTCCCCCCTTTGCTCCCCCTCCACCCAGCATCCCCCAGTCCCTCAGGCAGTCCCCCCACCATTGTTCATGTCCATGGGTCATGGGTGTAAGTTCTTTGGCTACTCCATTTCCTGTACTGTCCTTCATGTCCCTATGATTATTCTATAACCACCTATTCATACTTCTTAATCCCCTCACCTCTTCATTCATTCCCCACACCCCGCTTCATCTGGCAACAATCAAAACACTCTCTGTATCCGTGATTCTGTCTCTGTTCATCTTGTTTTCTTTTTTACATTCAACTGTTCATAGAGATGTATTTTTGCCATTTTATTGTTCATAGTTTTGACCTCCTTTTTCTTAAATAAGTCCCTTTAACATTTAAAAAGGCGAAGGCTCCGTGAATTTGCATGTCATCCTTGCTCAGGGCCCACACTAGTCTTCTCGGGACCGTTCTGATTTCAGTTCGTGTGCTGCCTGAGCACAGGGCTGTACTTTTTTTTTTCAGTGGGATGAGATTTGGGAAAACTTCACAAAGTAAAATGGGTAGAATTCCCTAATTCCTGGCCTTGGGGCACTTTCGCCAGAGATAAAAGGTAATGGTTGTCACCTCGTCCCCAGAGAAGTGCCAAGGTCAGAACAAAGAGAGCCTGAGCTTCTCAGGCCTGATGTTGAAGGATAACAAAAAAAGAGACCCCTTCTCAGAGCTCTTGTCTGGGAACAGGACAAACACCCCCATTCTAGTCTAAATTTGTCAGCTGTGTCTCAGGAGACACGATTTGATTTGTGGCAACACTGAATCTGGGTTACAGAGAGCAAGAGAACTCACGTGGTGCTGGGCATTTTGGCATTTAGATAGGAACGTCCTGGTTTTAATCTCATGGAATTGTTTTGTTTTAAGGATCTAAGGGAGCTTCGGGACAGGTGAGTCTACTATTTCTGTGGCTAGATGACTTGTCTGCTGCTCACACCAAGTCCAAGTCCTTTCAGGTACCAGCCACGCCATTCAACCACTTCCTTTGGTCTTTAAGAGGAGGGCGAATATATTTATCTGGGAAATAGGATAGATGAGATTTATTCAGGGATTTTTTTTTGTATATCAGGCACTGTGCTTTCTTCAACATTTCATTTCATCTTCCCGAGAGCTGATGAGTCTCAGTACTACTACACCAGCGCTGTCCCACCCAACAGGCAAGGAAGCGAGTCTTGAAGAGGCGATTAAGAACGTCCATCCCAGTCACACATCCATGAGAGCAAGGACGCCAACCCACTCTTAGCTCAGGGACCGTGCACTCAGCCCCCGCCTGCAGCAGCCCCCTCTGCTGCTTGCTGTGGGTCACCTCGTGAAGGAGCCTCTGTCGAACGTCAGCCCATGTGATGGGGCCAGGGAGCGACAACGTTCCACTTTCCAACCGGCCACTGCCTCCTTGCTCCTTTCTGTTCTCTTCTTTGTTCCGCTTTCTCTAACAGTGTGTCCTTGTACTTCCCTGAGACGAGAGGCAGCCCGCATATTGATGGAAGCGTCCCGCCTCTAATGCCCATTTCCAGCTCTGGCTCTGGGCTCCGGAAGGTTTCCTTCTCGTTTTATTTACACATTTGATTGTCAGGTCCTCAGGGCAGAGACTTTGCTGTGTGTTTGGGACAGTGTTATTTATTGTGTAAGGCTGTGTATACCTTGGGCATGTGTATAAATACTAAAATAACAGTGTTACTCATTTTGATTGAAGGAGATTTATATGTAGTTGTTCCTTACAAGAGCAGGTGGCTGGTTCGATTGCTGTTGTGAGCAAGGTTATAAGCCGGCCCCTCAGCCTTTCTCAAACTTTTGCACATTCTCTCTACTGAGCCCAAAGGAAGTGTATTTCCTTCTGCCTTTATTGGAGTTTAGCAGCATAGAGAATACTTGTATTAAGAGCATTTCCCTATTTAGTTGAATGGTTTGCTGCCTTTGGCTTTGTATCTAAGAAAATATACTGTTGGTGGGTGAAGAATATAGCAATGAGGTACTTTGTACCTTAAAGCATTTCTACCAAGTGCTAGAACTTGATTTATGGTATGAATATTGTTGGGAGGATGATAAATATGCAGTGTGGGGGATTCAATTTTGACCTCAGCAATTCAAACTGCACCACTTCTTTGCATCCAGGGTCACACAGTAAGTGATATTGGTGTGCCTGTAGCTGGGGTACCGTTTGCTCTATGCATGGTTTGGGTGTGGCTCAACATAGCTAATGAACCAGCAGCTGGACGAACCCAAGTTTTCCACTTCCTTTCTCCAGTGCTGTGTAGGTTCCCAGGAAAGAACACGGTGGTGTCCCCTGCTGGTGTGCAGGCGTGTCTGGGCATCTCTGCTGACCTGATGGGGGTGCCGCCCAAAGTCTATTTACAGGGGCACCGAGGAGACTTTGGGAGAGCACCCATTTTGGTGGGGGGGGAAGCTTATCATGAAAAGATGGACTTGGGAGCAGGTGGAGATGCCTTGTGTAGTGTGTACCGCGTGTGACTTGCCTGTGCCTCCTTGGCACAGACCCACTGCCCTCATGGCTGTAAGAGAAAGCCAGACGTGTTTCACCAACACGACCTAAGAACAGCACAGCAGTCATGCTGCGTAGGGGCCTTTGTCCCCAGAGGGGCGTGTCTAGTTTCCCTTCCTCATCACTGTGGGCCACCGCCCAGCGTGGCTCCATCAGGCCCCTCGATTGTCTCATTCTAGAGTCTGCTGTTTGTTGGCCATCATTTCCATCTGCAGAAAGCTCCGTGAGAGCTGGGACGGCTGTCTGGTCCCCACTCCATCATCGGCACTCGCATGGGCTTGCCTCATGGAGGAGCTCGGTCAGCAGCTGAGATGAATGGAGTCTGGGTGAAGAATAAAGTCAGGCTCCAGGCTGTCCTGGGGTGCCTGGCAGAGCTGGGGTGAGCTGCTGTGTGTTGTGCAGGAGCGAGAGGGCCTGGGGAGCAGAGCTGCCCTGGGTGGTCTGCTGGCCATGAACCGACCCTTCCGAGGCAGGAGAAGATAAATGGATGCTTGTTTTTTTTCCAGTGTATTTATCATATCTGGATTCTGTCTTAGTTCTTGTCATGTGACTGCATGTTTATGGCACCCTCTGAGTTGACAATAGCAGAGCCCTCAGTTGATTTCACTGAGTGAAGCCAGTGCCATGTCACAAGCCTGGTGACTGAAGTCGCTTAAGCATTTGCCATGTGTTTCTCCTCCGTGTCATAGGTTTCAGGAATGTCCCTGGTTGTCAGGTTGATGCCTGGATCATCAGTGTCTGATGCTAGGATCAGGAGACACCTTTTTGCCAGCTGATCCATATTTCCAGGTGTCATTTGGGTGCTACCAGCTAAGCCCGGCTTAGCCTCTTGTTTATTTGCTTATTTCTCCATGCTGTTTATCTGTGGAGCGTGCATCTCAGTGCCCCTGCAACTTCATAGCAGTGAGAACCAGTCCCAGTTGCAGGCGGATCTTGCAACAGGCACCAAGGACACCGGACGTGGACACGGGCATGGGGCGTATTCATAACAAGGTTGTCACATTGCACTTCCATTGGAAATTTGAAAACCACAGAGGGGTCAAAGTTCTATGTGATCTTTCTGAGAGAAGAGAATTGTTCTGGCCTTAAGGGAAACATTCTGGAGGTCACCAGACTGCTGAAAACCTCGTGCGTGCCCACGCAGGGACCGTAGTGATGGCATTTATGGGTGTTGCTAGGAAAAGGAGGTCGGAGCTGGCTTAAAGAATCACCCAGAATCGTTTATTTTCCCAGAGTCTTGTTATTTTCCCAGAATCTTTTGCTTTGACATGATTTCTACATCTATGTCTCATTTCCCATCTGGCAAATTCCTACTCATTTGTTAAGGCTTAGCTCCTGAGCAAAGCTTCCACCATTTCTAGCATTAGGTGCCCCACCCCCACCACTGCTTGAGCACCCTTTAGCGCTCATGTGTTTGGTAATATTGCTCCAGAGAGGGCAAGGGCTGGCAGGTTTGCCTGCAAAGGGGCAGAGAGGAAGCAATTTTGGCTTCGCCAGACATACAGTCTGTGTAGCAGCCATTCAACTTGGCTGAGAGAGGATGTAAGCAGTCACAGGCAATATCTAAATGAATGAGTGTGCCGTGCACCGATGAGATTTAATTATGGACACAGATTTGGAATTCATGTCCTCTACATATGTCCGTGAGATATTCTTCATTTGTTTTTCTCCCCCAAACATTCACAAATGTGAAAACCATTCTTAGCTCCTGGACCATACAAAAACAGTCCAGGATTGGGCCTGTGGGCTTAGTTGTTCACCCCTGACTTAGAGCATTTATTGGGCCACGTGTCTGTCTCTCCCACTTGACTGTAAGCAGACTGAACTCAGGAGTGGGGTCCCCAGGACGGAGCGCGGTTCCCGGTGCCTTGGATGGGCCCCGCAGACATTCGTTAAGCGACTGCCTGTGTGGGAGGGTGAAGCAAACACTTCCCAGTGTTTGCTGAGCACTTATTATAGTGTCAGGCATCGTGCCGAGCACTTTATATGCATTTTCTAATTTAACCCTCATTTAATTTTGTGATCTGGAGACATAAAAAGCAACAATTATCATTAGACATTGTGCTAAACACTGTCTGCGTAGACTCATTTAATTCTCTCAACAACCTTATGGACTGATAATATCTACTTTTACAGCTGAGGGAAATTAAGCTTGGGGAGATTATTTGTCCAAAGTCACCCAGCCAGGGAGTCAAATAGGGTTAGAAGGAGCCCCGTCAACCAGACTTGAGGGGCCTACTTCCTGGGTCCCTAGCTGAAGAGTCTCGGATGCTCTCTTCTTGAACTTGAGCGCGAGACACGTCCTTGCATGGCGATGCTGAGACAGGAACGGGAGACTTTCTTGTCTCCTTGCAGCCATTTGGTTGCGTTTGAGAACCACCAACCACTGTGTTCCTAACCAGGGGTGGAACATTTGGAATGTTGCTTAACCTTTCTGAGTAAAGGTCTTTCATTAGTGCCGCCAAGAGTCTGGACTGCACCCTGTCAAAAGCCTCCTCTTCTGAAGTTTCTGTGATTTTATTCTCCACCATTTTCTGCTTATGTGTTGCTGTTGCCCTGTCTGTTCTTCTCTCAACCTTGACTATAGAAATCTCAGGTCCCGTGGGGTTGCTTGGATGTGGAGGGAAGGGAGGGAGAAGGAAAATGTCAATCTAGTCACAAATACATTTCTAAGTCCATAAAATGGCTGCTTAAAGTATACTTGCTTTTTGGCTTTTTTTTTTTTTTTAATGGAAGGTAGTTTTTCCAAGAAAAACAAGTAACATTGTCTCTAACAAATGACAACCGTGTTAGCACCTTCTATTTTCTGAGCACCATTTAGAGGTACGCACCTTTCTGGAGGCATTATCTAATCCATCCTCCTGATATTCCTTTGAGACAGGTAAGAAGCTTTTTTATTAGAAGATCCTTTTATGTGGCTGTTGAATGAGCCTTTCTTTGTTGCAAACCAA